AGCCTGCGGGGCGCTTCCCGGGCTTCCGCCTGAGCGGACACGCCCCGTGACGTCATCGAAGCGCGCGTCGCGTCGGGCGGGCGTTCCACTCATTCCCGGCGCCCCTCGCGGAGGTGCATCTCCGCCATGGCTGCGGCCGACCCTGGGGACCCGGCGCCTGAGCCAAACCCTGCCGGGCTACTGCTGGGCCATATCATGGCCTCGGGGACAGTCGCTCAGGTAGGTGGGCGGCGATGGCGTCATTAAGGGGGTGCCCCGGTGGCGACAGAGGGAGGCTGTGAAGCGGTCCTGGCGGAGGCTGTGCCAGAGGAGACACGGGCTGAGCCGGTTCCAGGCCACGGCAGGTACCGTTCTGCAAACGGCTCGCCGAGACGGGTTTCGGGTGTCTGCAGGCGAGTTATCCCAGGTCTGTTCGTAGGAGATAATAAAGACCGGTTTTCCCGCCTTTTTCCCCTCCTTCTTCTTCTGAAACATAGTAATCCTTCCTTTGGAAAACTGCTGTTTGGACTACTCCGTTATTCTTAGATAGTCTCTTATTCTGTAGGTAAACTCTATTTTTAGACTGTAAAATAACTGTTTTTTGTTTGAATACTAAAGATAAACTTAACTGTCTGACCTTGCAAGCTAGCCATCTAAAGGGGCTGATACACTGATACTGATATTAATTCACATATTCTGCCAAGTGTTTGTTCATCCAAGGTTACAGGTGTCTATAGATATGATATGGTACTCAAAGTTACAAGTTGTCTGTATAGATATGACAGGTGTTTGTTAGATTGTTATTAACTTGATTAGGGTTCTCCTAAGCTGGCCTTTGCTAAAAACATCCTTAATCTGATTGAGGTATGTTCGCTGAGGTCGACCCCTTCCAACTCTCCCATCCACACTGGTCTTGTATACTTGTTTCTTCTATCTCAGTGGTCGGCAAGCTCATTAGTCAACAGAGCCAAATATCAACAGCACTTCAAAATAGACTCGGCCAGGCTGAAAACCAACTTCTGCGCATGGGCCACGAAGTTTCAATCGCACTGTACATGCACCCGCACGTGGTATTTTGTGGAAGAGCCACACTCAAGGGGCCAAAGAGCCGCATGTGGCTCGCAAGCCACAGTTTGCCGGCCACTGATCTAGTGCTACCATCTCTAGATTGTAATGAGTGACGGGTTGGGAAACCGGTTAATTGAAGCATACGTTCCCTGACAAGTGAGGTATTGAAGCATGTTTGGGGCGGGAGGCGCCGAGTACCCTAGAGCGCCAGGGGAAACGCACATCTTTAAAGGGCCCTCAAAAAAGTATTGGTGATAAAGACCTGAAAGACCTCGTAACATGGATGGAGGAAGCGACTAATTTTGAGAAGGAGAGACCAGAGAGGATAGCCCATGGGGTGGGTGGTCTTAGGTTTGGCAAGAAGAGTGTGTTCATAGTCCAAAGGGAAGAAGCCAATAGAGGGAGAAATGGAAGATGTGAGGAAATAATGGAACACAAGTGGCAAAAGTGACTCGGGAATCGGAACGGAGGGAAACAAGAAAGAAAACTTTACAGAATGAGGAAGTTGAGGAATATCACTAAGAAAGGAAACAGAAAGGTAAAATCATCCGCAGAGATTAGCAATATAAACATGATGAAAGATTGACAGAAAATATACCACTTTTTATACTTAGAGCATTCTACTACCTTACTATAGAATAGAAGAAACTAAGGCCTAAGGAGACCAAGAAATTTGCCCAAGGTCACTTAACGAGTGAAGCAGGGTTAGGTACCAGCGTTCTCCCTTTCCTGACAGCATCTCAAAGATGAATTGTGGTACATACTACTATGACCCGATCTTGAAGGTTTAAACTTCTGTTGAAGAACTCTTCTAAATTACTGGAAGACCTAAGTAACAGGAACTTCTGGATTGTGTGGTGGGGGTACAAGGCGTAGTAATGAGTACATTGGAAAATAGGTAAAACGTAACTACATCACTCACCAGGTCTTGCCTTCCTGGCTTCTCTCCTGTGTTTTCTTCCTACCAAGTTGCCTAGTACTCTCAGCTGTTACCAGTTCTGTAACAAAGTAATTTAATAAACCCATTCTATAAGACATTTGGGACTTACCCATGTAGAGCTACTGACAGAAGGTAATTAACACCTAAACTAAAGGAGTAAGTCTCCGGTGAGAGGATTTTAGGCATTGATGGGTGAGCTGTTTGTTGGTGTAGTGGTGGTTTTGGGGAGGATCTTCCTAGTGTCCTTCAAGTAACACCAATTAGACAGTTACCTGTTTTGCCTAGGTAAGTTCTGCCAATCCATAGCTCCATAAGACCATCTTAGTCTTACCGCACTGCCAATCCCAATGAAGAACGTTACAGATTTGTAGTATGATTTTACTTTAAGCAAACTTTGCATATGAAAACCTACTTTAATTAGAAGGGTTTAGCATAGGTTCTTTCAAAATGATACATTACATGATCCCTTTAAACAGTCCATTTCTTAAGTGCACACATCATTCTATGTGCATTAAAAATTAAGAGTAATGCTTAAAATTGTTGTGATACAATTCTTCTAGAAAACATAGCTTTGTTGAGTTTTGATCTATTCATTGGAGAACGATTTAGTGAAAGAAACGTAGGATTAACTGTCTGTAGAATAATATGGGGTATTTGCTTTCTTTTATGCTTTAGTGGCCTTACATTCTAGATCAAGCATGTCAAACTCGTGGCCCACAACGAATATTTTTGCGGCCCAGTCAGTATAACAGTATTTAAGAAAATGTTTTAATAAAAATTTTGTAACTTATCCTGTTATTTTACAATATCCTGTTATACATAATTACTAATAAAGAACTACAACGTTCGCTAATGACTGATTACTATAATCGTGTTGCATTTATTTCCCTTAAGTGCCTATGCGCAGGCGCACCATTTCTCTCCACTAACACTAACAGCGAATATTTTAGTAGCTGATGATTGCCACGTCATTAGTCTTGGACTGACTTGTTTGGTGTGCGCAACAGGAAATATTTCACTTTTGGAGAACAAGAAAAATAGGTTTATTTGCGTTATGTTTATTAATTTGTGCAGTTATTCAGTGTCTTGTAAGTTACTGTTCAAGAAAAAATATTAAGTTTTATTAACATGTTCTATTATTTTATGTTAAGGATTACTCATTTATTTCAGCCCTTTGTATTCAGCATGTCTCTATCAAAATAAACCTACGTTTCTACGAAAATTGAAGCTTTTGTTTTTTTGCGGCCCACATAAACTTAAACCTTGTTTATTAGGCCCATGTTAGCCTTTGAGTTTGACATGCTTGTTCTAGATATTTTTCAGGCAAGTTTGTGTTAGTCATGGTATCTTGATTAAAGCTCCCTATACTGGCAATGTATAAGATAAGGATCTGGATCTACAAAACACCCAAAATCTACTATTTTCTAATATATATATATTAGGGCTTATTCACAATCGTCAAATAGAATTTCTGTTTACTAGAGTAATTTGGCTGCTCTTTAATTCCTATCTTTTTTTTTTTTTTTTTGGTTCTTCCTTTCTTAAAGATTCTTATTTTCCCTCTGGTTTCTATCACAAGTTCTTGGCTAAGCTCCATTACCCTGTTGTTGAACCCAACAGTTTATTAGTTTGCAAGTGAACAACTAAGATTAGTGTATACATATGGAGAGATAGAAAGATACCAGAGAGTGAGTAGGTTACAACGAGAAATGGGAGATATTTTGCTTTTCATTTACTTCTACCTAAGAGAGAGCAGAAAGAAAAGAGGCTATGATGGAAATGCAGTATATATGATGGTTCTCATTTCAGCCCTGATGCACTCTGACAGTGTGAAGTTGGACTAACATTTAACCTTCGCAATTTTCAATTTTTGCCATCAGTAAAATATCTTGTTACCTACCTCAGTGAATGGCAAGCTATCTGTTCAGTCACCTGAAGCAGGATCCTTGGAGTCAGTATTAACTTGACTTTATCACTCATTACCCATATCAACTAGGACTTGTCAATTCCGTCTTCCCAGGGATTCATATCTCTGCCCGCTTTCCTTTTTAACTGCTACCCCTATTCCACATTGTCATCTCACCTGGAATGCTATAATAGCCTCTTATCTAAATATCCAATCTTCACTCCTCCACTAGGTTTTTTTGTTTGTTTCATATTGTTGCCTAGTTTCCAGAGTGTTTTATATTCTAATAAAATGCACATAACATAGAATTTGCCATGTTAACCATCTTAAAATGTACAACTCAGTGGCATGAAGTACAGTCACAAGGCTGTGAAACTATTTTTAAAACTATTCCTTATCATTCCCCAATGGAAATCCCATACTCATTAAGATGTCACTCCCCATTCCTTCTTCTCCCAATCCCTTTAGGTTTTTTTCACTAGAGGCCTGGTGCAGGAATTCATGCATGGATGGGATCTGGCTTGCCTGCCTGATCGGTAGGAGGGGGGATAGAGGGGTGGGCTGGCCAGGGGGAGGGGTTGTGGGTGGTTGGCCAGCCGGCCCCGCCCCCAGTCGAACTCTTGGTAGAGGGGACAATTTGCATATTAGCCTTTTATTATAGGACTAGAGGCCTAGTGCACAAAAATTTGTGCACTTGCGGGGGGGGTCCCTCAGCCTGGCTTATGCCCTCTTGTAGTCTGGGACCCCTTGGAGGCTATCCACCTGCTGGCTTAGGCCCACTCCCTGGGGGATTGGGCCCAAGCTGGCAGTCAGACACCCCTCTGGCAGCCCAGAAGCCCTCAGGGGATGTCCACTTACCAGCAGGGAGCAGACCTAAGCTGCAATGGGACATCCTTAGTGCTGCCGAGAAGGCAGAAGAGGCTCCCGCCACCACCGTTGTGCTGGCAGGCATCAGTCTGGCTTGTGGCTGAGCAGAGCTCCCACTGTGGGAGCACACTGAGCACCAGCGAACAGCTCCTGCATTGAGGATCTGCCCCCTGGTGGTCATTGTATATCATAGTGACCAGTCATTCCCAGTCGTTCTGCTGTTAGGGTCAATTTGCATATTACCCTTTTATTATATAGAATAGAGGCCTGGTGCACAGGTGGGGGCCGACTGGTTTGCCCTGAAGTGTGTCCTAGATTAGGGTGGGGGTCCTGCTGGGGTGCCTGGCCAGCCTGGGTGAGGGGCTGATGGGTGTTTGCAAGCTGGTCACACCCCCTTCAGGGTGGGGGTCCCCACTGGGGTGCCTGGCCAGTCTGGGTGAGGGGCTGAGGGCCATTTTCTGGCTGGCCAAGCCCCCCGGCGACAGAAGCTCCCAGCCTCTCCTTTTTTTCTTTTTTTTTATTCTGGGATTTATTTACCTTCTATAATTGAAACTTTGCAACCTTGAGTGGAGCTCAGAGCCGGCCAGGGCAGGCAGGAAGCTTGGCTTCCTCCATTGCCAGGGGCAACCCAAGCCTCCTGCTCGCTCCAGCTCCGTGGCCACAGCCAGCTGGAAGCAGGTATCTGGGGTTCATTTATCTTCTATAATTGAAACTTTGTTGTCTTGAGTGGAGCTCAGAGCCGGCCGTGGCAGGCGGGAAGGTTGGCTTCCTCCATCACTGGAGCATCCAAGCCTCCTGCTTGCTCCAGCTCTGTGGCTGCCAGCTGCCATCTTGGTTGGGTTAATTTGCGTATAGTTGCTCTGATTGGCTGGTGGGCGTGGCTTAAGGCATAGCGAAGGTACAGTCAATTTGCATGTTTGTCTTTTGTTAGTGTAGATTGCCAATGCATGTCGTATGTGCCAGTCGGAGGGTTGGTCATTTAGCCTTTTATATATATAGGTACTACCCACACTTACATTTCTATGTGTGTTATACATGGTGCCCTAAAAAAATGTGTACACACTTTGAAAGATTATAAAGTCAGTTCATTTTCAAAATTTAAAAGAATCTACAGAAATGAGTAATTTTTTTTTTTGTCAATGCCTGTTTTCAAACTGATGACCATTTTGGTCCAAGTACTGCTGATAATGCAAAGCGGTGAAATCGCAATATCAAGAATCATTTTGTTTGGTATTTGTGTGCCCTCAACTCATTGACTGTTGCCAGTTTTGTACTGTAAACTTTATCTTTTATGGGTCTCCATAAAAAAAAAGTCTAGTGGCACTTTAGGATAAATTTTCTTTGTTCAAAGCTTAGTCTGGCCTCACCCATTATTTCAAATTAGTTAAAACTGAAAAGGAGTGAAAATTGAGTGAGTTATCAGCTGTTAAAGTGTGTATACATTTTTGGGGGGACACCCTGTATGTCAAAAGTGCCAGCAGTTGTGTGTGCCAGATGCCTTGGAACATTCTAGCGTGGGTCGATCCCTCTGGATTATTGTTACTGTTGGTCCTTGGAGTTTCTACTTGTTGTCAACAGTGCCGGTTGCAGCAGGTGATGGGCTGAGGCATCCCTGGTTGTTAGAAAGGAATCTTTCTGGAAGCCTGCTTGCCATCTGCCTGTTCCTGCTGCCCAGCCCCCTCGCACAGAGCCCTGCT